GAATAAAACAGCCTGGATGCAAGTTTCTACATATAATGATTGGTTAAACCGTGTTAATGCAATGATGAGGCTTCAAAACCGCCATATTCTTCTTTTTGTTGATTATTGTACTACCCATATCCAGCAAGGGGAGCTTAGCAATATTCGAATTGAAAAGATACCAAAAAATACTACTGCTCACCTTCAGCCGTGCGATGCCGGCATTATATATTCGTTCAAGTGCCACTATAAACGTATTTTCGTGGAAAATCGGCTTGCAGCATTTGACAAAATGCAAATAGAAGGTTCTGAAATTAAAGATTTTAGCATTCTTGATGCTATTAATGCTACTTCTGAAGCATGGAACAATGTTACTCAGGAAACGATTATGAACTGCTGGCTGAAAATGGGTATTCTTCCACGATACCAAGTAGCTGAAAGGGATTGGGCATGCTAGCAGGTGGAACAAAAGTTGAAAAGTGAGTCTGATGAACTTGGTGATTTGATAATTGATTTGTCAATAAATGGTGAAATCGATGACCCTATGGATGCAAATGAATTTATGAACATCGATGCTGATGTCGCTTTTGAGATGCTGTCTGACGGTGATATAATCTGTGCTATTAATAAGGATGATGACTGCCTCCCTCAAGAAGAAACATTACCAGTGCCTAGTGTTACAGACAATGAGGCTTTGAAAGCCCTTGATTTGGTTGAAACGTATCTTTTGCAACAACCCGAGGATTTTGTTGTAACTGATAGGGATAAAAGTACTGTCCATTGGTTGAGAAAGGAAGTTTCAAGATATGTCTCTCTTCAAAAGAAGCAGGCTAACATTACAGAGTTCTTTTTTTAATGAGGACCAAAGTTTTTTTGATCTTTTTTTTTTTTTTTGCATTTTATGTTTTTTTTTTTTTTTTTTTACTTTTTTTATTTTTTTTTACTTTATTTTTTTTTTTACATTTCATTTTTGACCCACGTATCTTCTTTTTTTGGCGTGCAGATCTTCTGGAATACTCTTTGATTCACATGGTTTAACGAAGAATTTGGGGGTTTTAAGACAATGCGATAGAAATAGGAATTCGGCAATATATTTTTTTGTTGCTTTGTTATATTTTCATTTAATATATCGGTTAAACTTGTCCAACTGAAGTTTAATTCATGTGCCACTTTAATTTTGATTTTAAATTGTTCAAAATGTGATTACGACGATTGCATTTTATTAGATCGGGATTGTACAATGAAACTTCTCATAAGTGCATGCCTATGGGATCAGAGTGTATGTATGCATTTAGAGAAATGCGCAATGGAAAATTCAACTAGCAAACCGAAATAAAAAAATACAAGTGATTAACATATGCCCTCTTTAGAACCAAAAGTGGGGGTCCTTAAAGCCCGGCAGATTACGTGTTATGCTGTTTTTTCATTAATATTAGGGTTAGGGCCACTTTGGGTTAGAATTAGAGGTACTAATATAAGCAAAATTACCTCCTGACATTTTTTGTTAATACGCCAAGATGGGTTTTGACTACCGTTTTTGATATTTTTCGCTTTTCTCTCTTTTTTTTGCTTGTTTTGCTTTGATTCGGGTTTATCAAATTTTGACAATCCGATTGGCTGATTATTACGTAATCTGCCCGGCTTTAAGGGACCCCAAAAGTGTGCATTTGGCGCAGGTATAAAATTCTGTGTGCATTTTACGAAGGATATATGCATATGCTCGGTCCCAGAACTTATGCACGTGCAGAGAGTAATGGAGTGCATTTAGCACTAAGTTTCAAGCGGACCAAGCTAAGTGTAAACTTAAAGGTGTGCATCTATAAAGAGTGTACTTAGAATGCTATAATAAATGACTATGCGTATTTGATTTATTAATGTATTACACAATATCTTTATAACAGATCCTAGCTTAATTCAGTTATATAGGCCGTTATATAGGTATAACGAACATGCTATATAACGGATTTTTTTGGCCAGCCCGGATTTCCGTTATATCGATAGTTGACAGTATTATATTTATTTTATTTATTTATTTTGATTGTCTCTAGATAATTTAAGCAAGAGGATATGATGAGAAATGATGATCTTTGATTTACTTATTTTGTATATCTATTTACAAATGCATTTCATGATGCTTATATATTTGTATAAATAAACTTTGCTTCTAAGTAAATTGCAGATTATGTAGCTAGTATAGAGTAGAATTCTTGTTGCAATTAGCCAATGACAGAATTTCTTGTACTATATATATTTTTAGGATCATTAATATAATATCTCTTTAATAAAATTATTGATATATACTATAATTAGACCAGTTTCCTATTGCTAAAATTGTGGATAAATTTGCTCTAGAGAATTGAGTATAGAATGCTGCCAGTACTCTTGCATCTTTGGCTTTTAGGTTAGAGAATACTTTTACAAGAATTTCTTTAATCTAATTAGCAATTATAAATGATATTAGTAGATTGTAGTTTAATATTAAAGTAAGTAACAAACATGATTTCTGTTTAGTTGTTATTTACCAAGACTTAGTACATTTTAAAAAAGCATTTACTGCTATTACAGAAGATATGTCAGGTAATTCTTTATAATCTTCTATGTAAATCTGTTTTGTCATTAGTTTATTACTTTTATAGAATAGTAAAATTTTATATTCTTTAGAATTTCTAATTGTAAACAAGACATCATTATCCAATAGTTTGCAAGTTGTAAGATCAATTCAAGCTAAGTCTGAAGGGTGATTAGCAGTGGTTATAGCTAGTAGAAAGGCTATTTTTCATAGCAACAAGAAAATTTTTATTGTATTGTTGTTACCAAATAAGTGAATTTTGTCAAAAGCTAGAGTTAAATCAATGACATTATCCTTGTAAGAGTTAGATAAGTTTTTATTATAGACATCTTTTATGGCTTTAATAATAGTAGGGTGTAAACCTATAGGTGAAAAGTTGATTTAGTCATGTATTTCACTAATTGCTAACCTGTAGCTAGCTATCATATTATATGCTTTTTCTATATTGACTTGATCTTTAAAAAATTCGATTATATCAATTAGAAGGCAAGTAATAGGATTAGTTTGTTTTTTAATATATCAAGAAATCCAGTATTTAATGTTTAATGACACTGTTTTTGATAATTTGATGTTGTATACTACTTCATATAGATTGATAGCTTTTTTTAAAAGGTTCTGGTTTGTAAGGTGAGTCCTGATATATGTGCTGTACAAAGATTCTATTTTATTATTCAAAGGTGTTGATGGTAGATAATCTCTTATCAGAATTGTTGAGTTTTTGAAAATTAGTCTGAAAAAATTATCCAGTAGAGATAGGAGTGTTGAGAACCACAGTGCTAATAACTATCATGGGAAGATTAGTATGATTGTTACTTGTTCTCTTATGACTTTGTTTAGTATTTTGTATAGTAAAACCTATAGTAGGTTGGCCTATATATTTCATCCCTTTTATAGAAATAGTAGAGCATCTATAGCTATTGCTTTCAGGTCTAATTTCTAAAATATATACATCAGAGTTAGATAATTTTTGGAGTCTACAAATAGGTCTAAGTTTTTTGATCCTCAGACTTGTTCTATCTGGTTAGTATTTGTTATTTTATTAACTAGTTGTGATGATCTTCTTTCCTTGTAATGTTTGATCTGCTATAATATTCAAATAGCCTGGAATATATTTAGCTTTTAAAATTATTTGGCAACAAATACATTCTTTCCAAAAAGATTCTACTAAAAGGCTTATTTGGAGTAATATAATTTTACTTTGGTTGTTTATATATGATACTATTATCATGTTGTTACTCTTAATTAAAATAGTCTGATTTTTGATATAGATTCATTTTTTCAATACATTCTTCACTGCATGGTTCTGGTTCATTCGACCTTTT